ACATGAATACTTTTTTTTTAATTGAGAATAAGAAAAAAAAAGTTTCCGCCTCCTCCCAGAAACCTAAGGTAAAACCAAACACTACTGGACTGAAAAAATCAATAAAATGATTCCTAATGATATTCTGCTACACTTATAGATCAGTGCCTTATCCAGTCATCATCAGAGAGGCTTCCAATAGCAGCAGCTGGGAACAGATGCATAGACCCACAGCCAGATATTATGCAGAGAAAGACTCTAAATTAGAGGACTCCATCAAATTTCTCCCCTCAGAGCTCAGGGAACCCCACAGAAGAGACAGGGAGTGGAATACACTAGGAGAACAAGGCCCTCTACTGAATCAACTAAGCAAGGCAAATATGGGTTCACAGAGACTGAAGCAGCAAGCAAACACAAGGCCTATGCCAGATCCTATGGTTGTGTGTGTAAGTGCGCGCTGATTTTTGGGCCTGCCTTTTGACTCTTTTTGTCCTATTGGATTGTTGTGTCCAACTTCAATATGATAGCTTTTCCTTCATCCTACTATATTTTATTTCATCAGATTTGGTTGTTACCTCTTAGAAACCTGTTCTTTTCTAATGAGAGACAGAAAGGAAGTGGATCTAGAGGGGGAGGAGATGTGGAGAGGAACTTGGAGGACTGCAGGGAGGGGAAATTATAATCAGGATATATTGTATGTGAAAGGAACTTATTTTCAATAAAATTTTTAAGAAAGAACATTACTAGTGGCTACAGCACTAAAGAAAATCTCTCTCTCCCCCTAGCAACGATTAACTGCCTATAGATCTTCTGGAAGTGATGGAGGAAGGTAATTGGTTAATTATAATAAACCAACTGCTTGGCCTCATAGCTTAGAACATAGGTGGGTGGAATAAACAGAATAGGATCTGGGCGGAAGAGGAAGTGAGGTCAGACTCTGCTCTGCTCCCGGAGAGACCCAACAGCTCTGCTCTCTGGAGCAGAGACACCAGGATGGACGGAGGCTAGACTCTTCCCGGTAAGCGCACCTTGGGGTGCTTACACACATCATTAGAAATGGGCTAGTCCAGATGCGAGAATTAGCCTGTAAGGGCTAGAGTTCATGGGCCAAGCAGTTCTTAAATGAATACAGTTTGTGTGTTGTTATTTTGGGCATAAGCTAGCCAAGCGGTCGGGGTGTTGGGGACGCAGCCCCGCCACTCCTATTTCAACAGATGGCTGCCCAACGTGAGGATAATTGAATCCACAAAAAGCCTGAGAAAGCTTGGGAAAGAATGGAGTGAAGCATGTTTTCTTGGTAGCAGAAATTTCTTGGGTCTGCTCTGCTTGCTAGAGGCAAGCAAGC